TTCAGTGACAATATATTTGTACATATTTGTATGCTGTGTAATGGCTTGGTTAAAATGGGTATTTCTTGTATTGATTGTGTGTGTGTGTTTATATGTATGTGTATGTGTGTGTATATATAAACATTTCTCAGAATTCTCATGTACTTCAAAAATCATACATTAAAAATAACGAGGCATATGAGAAAATGGTTTGGGGTGTGGAGTGTAAAACACTAAGTCCAAGATCAATAATTAAAACACTAACAAAAATGATAGCTGGTACCTTAAGATATGGGCAATTCAGGCAGCTTGCTGTGCTTGTAGATTGAGTTGTTTTAGAAAGTAGTAATGATGCAGTCATTGATGAGAGGATATGCTCATGGATATTGAGCTTGTGCGTTTGCTGAGGACATTTTTCTTTTCCTGGTAGCATTTACAGTTCTGTTCCTGCTGTTCTGGCTGTCCTTGCCCAGGTTAAATCCTTATGAATTAACAGAAAAATACCTACAACACTGGAAGGGATCCTCTGTTTGCAGTTGTAAATGAACCAATCGATATACATAAAATGTATTCTGCAGCAGAACCAACTATAGCTAGTTTCCCCAAAATAAAAATACTCTCTTCTTGTCATGTTTATTAATTTGTTTGTAAAAATTTCTGCTAATAGATAAGGCAGGCATAAATTTCAGTTTCAAGAGCTTTTGGCCAAAAATCTAAATTAGTGCAGTCAAAATTAATGACATTTTATTCTTTGTAAAAATTCTTACTCATTTTTTTTTTTTTTGAGAAAAAAAGAAGTAGAGATCTTCCTTCCACTGATTCACTCCCCAGATGCCTGCAATATCTGAGGCTGAGCCAAACTGAAGCTGGAAATCCAGAGCTGAATCTCAGTTCCTCACTTAGTGAGGACCCAAGGTCATAGAGGCGTCACCTGCCTCTGTTATTTTTGTGTGTCTCTGGAATTAGGTTTAGGGGAGCCCCAGACCTAGACTTCTGCTTAAATGTTTCTGATGCACACCGCTAATTTTGCCACATCCTCTCATCGTTCTCCGAGGTGTCACATCTAGTGAGCTGGAATACTTGACAACAAGGGCATGCTTGTGCTTTCCTTTGACTCATTTGTGCCGGTCATTCTTCCCTTACCCTCTGTCTCTTCACTTTCCTGCTCTTCAGATCCAAAGAGTTCAATGCCATCACCATCTTTGCTACTGATATCTTGCTTCCTGTGGTGTCTTCCGCATTGGCAGGGCTGTACTTGTCCAAAGTTCTTCATTCCTTGACGACTGACATTTTCCTTTTCATGAGTTGATAGAGGGTAGACTAAGGAATGATACAAGTTGGCAGGCAGTAGATCAGAGACCACTTCTCACACTGTGGTTTCTACTGGTGACATTGTGCATCTGTGTGGTGCTTAGAGGTTGTGGTGACTGCCCTGGGAGCTCCAGAGATGGACCTCTATGTATGTCTGCACCAATCCGAAGCCAGGAGCCAGTAGCTTCTTCTGGGTCTCCCACACAGGTGCAGGGTCCCAAGGCTTTGGGCTGTTCTTGACTGCTTTCCAAAGCCACAAGTATGGAGCTGAATGGGAAATGGGGCAGTGGGCACATGGGATTCTGGCACATGCAACACTAGGACTTCAGCTGGTAGGGTTCTCAATGGTTTCTTTTAAATTATTATTATTATTATTATTTTGAAGAATTGCATAGAGCAACATGGAAAAACAGGTCTTTCATCTTCTGGTTCACTCTCCTGGTGATGACAATGGACAGGGCTGGGCCAAGCTGAAGCCAGTAGCTTCATCTCCCTAGTGGGTGGTGACCGGAAGTACTTGGGCCATCTACCACTGCTTTTCCAGGTTGAATTGCATGTAGATCAGCTGGAACTCCAACCAGGGCCAATATGGGATGCTGGTATTGCAGATGACAGATGAATTTGCTATGCTGTGATATCAGATTCTGGGTTGCAGCAGCTTAACTAACCTTAAAATACCCTGGTCACATGAACTCAGAAAAAGTGTTTGAAGAAGTAATAACTGGAAAAGTTTTAACTTATTCATATATTCGAGACGTTTCAAAAGAGTGGGTAAAGTCTTAGAGTATTCCGACACTGAATCATCCTGCTCTTGGTGCTTGTCTTCTTTCTGTTTGCTCTTTAGTGGGTATTAGACATTTATCAGAACTACTGTTAACACAGGATTGAATGATTTATGCTAATGTAAAATATTAAGAATATAGTCCCTCTTGATTATTCTGCTGGCATTTGGCAAGTAGTCAGATGTATATATAAATATGTTCTTCTAAGTGGTTTCTACTGTTAGACATAAATCTCTTCTTAATTCAATTCTGGGTTAGGCCATGGGGCTGGGGCGAAAGGAACCTCCTGCAGCATGGCTGCTGTGGAGGGTGTCCAGCCAGGCCAGACCCATTGCTGGGACTCAGGCCATGGTCAGTGCAGCCAAGTTGTGACCAAGTCCAAGGCTTTAGGAGGCAAGTGCACCTATTTGGCACCAGGCTTGCCTGCTGGCCACCAAGCGGCAGGTTCTGGAGTTTTGGGGATATGCAATTGCTGCCTAGGGACATCCATAGATATGGCCAATGTGAGTGTAGGTGAGGGACAAATTCTGGGTGATTCCCAACAATGGGATCATGGAACTTTTTGTAAAGCATGGAGACTGAGAACTGGTGGTTTGGAGGGGAGAGTCCAGAAGATCTATTTGGCCCAGACTGATTCACCAGCCCAAATGGGAATCCTGAGATGGGCTGTTGGCATAGAGCATCACTGACTGCCACACACCAGTCCACACCAAAGCTGTGGATGGGGGCCTGCCTGGCAGGGCTAGGTACCAGTACCTGACTGATAGGTGGAACAGTGGATAGGTCATACTTGGCAGGGTTAAGGCACTAACTAGCACATGAGAGAACCAGATCCGGGGGTAGAATCTGTGGGGGATGTGTGGGTTGAACCCTGTGCAAATACAAGTCCAGCTGGTTAGCTCATGAGCTGGGGTCATGATGGGCTGAGCTAGGTGTGACCATGGTACGTGCCATCACTACAGGTAAAGGAACTGACAACAGTCTGGGCAGGTCAAGGCAGCAGCACTCAAATGTGCATCCTATAACAGGATATGGGGTGAGCTGAGCTGCAGCTGGAAGGGGGCAGACCAGGCAGGGCCAAACAAACCTCAACTCACAGAGAATAACAGAAATCAAGATGGAGCACAGGTCGTGTCTAACTAGGCTCTTACACTGACTGTCTGCATGAGCCAGGGATACTAGGCCACAGCATCAAAGGCAAAGGCTGAGACAGTTGAGGGGCTAAGCCAACTGGGTCAGAGCAGCCACTGGCAAATGCATAATCTAGGGCTGGGAATAGGCCTGTTTGGGGAGCTGTGAGAGTACACCCTTGCTGGGTGGGGGTTCCCCCTGGTGAGTGCAGGGCCCAGAGTGGGGGCTGCTTTCTGGTCTGATACAGCTGCAATCTCTGTTGCCACAAGTGTGAAATAGGGCTGCGTACACCTAGCTGGGCTAGACACCAGCACCATCTGGTGCTCTGGAGAACCTGAGTAAATGTAGGATGGACTAGGCTAGGTCTCTGCCCCTATTGAGCCATGTGTGAGCTGTGTCTGGGTATGGACGAGCCTTGACTGGGCTGAAACATCCTGTAGTAAGAACTGGAATGGATTGAAGGCCAGCAAGGAAAGGTCACTGTTCATCCAGGACAGGAGGTAGACTAAGTAGGGCTGGAAACAGAACTGACCCAGCAAAAGCAAAGAACAGTATATGCATAAGCTGATTGAGGCGACAGATGGTGCTGGACCCTGTGCTAGCATGCACACACAGGAATCAGGTTTGGGATCACCTCAAAGGGAGGTTTCTCGGTGATCCCTCCAACTGAACTGCTCATCTCAGAACCTCAAATGTGAAGAGCCTATGTCAGCCATTGGATTCTGAAGAGAGTTCATCGTGCTTGGAGCAGCGAGACTGGCACCAATTCACAACTGTTGAACTAACAAAACTGCATGAGCAGGACCCTCGGGGCATACCCCACATCAAAGACCTGGGATGGGTGGGAGGCTGGGTGGGGCTTCTCCCTTTGTTTCTCCCCTGACCCCAGATACAGGGAAAAAATGATGATATTAGTGTGGAAACAATGGTCTTATGTACTTTCTTATAACCCTTGACCCTTTGTACCCTAATCCATTATGTAAGATTATCAAAATAAATAAATATATATATCGTAAAAAAAAGTTCACTTGTGAGCATCGGCTCTAGAATATACTCTGATAGAAAGTATACTCATTATCTGGAACTGGGAAAATATTTGCTGCTTCTGCAATCCCATCAATGTGACAAGGTAATCGCAGTATTCTCCGCTTAAGTTGCCTGCACTTTCTGCTTACAGTTGTGCCGTAGTTACTTCCTGGGAAGCAGAGAGGTCGGGTTTTCTCAGCCTTCTCTCTCTCAGTCTCAGCGCTAGTCTTTGTTTTCCAGTCTCTATAAATCACAAGTTTCAGAGAACAGATCCTTCCTTGATTACCATTAGGTTTATGTTTGAGGGCTTACCCAATTGGAAAAACCTTCACTTTTTTTTCTTTTCATAGTAAATATAAATTGAATTTGAGTACAAGGGAAAATAGCAGCTAATTGACTAGTTTGTCAGATGCTGTTTTCTTGTTCTGTAATATTTTCTGATTGCTGTACCTACTTCTTGACATCAATAAGAATCCTGAATTCATGTTTTAAATAAAAGTGAATTGTGAAGGACACTGAATGAGTGAAATAAGGGAAAAAGGGGAGCTAAAATGGCCTGTTGGAGTTGAAGGGAAAGTTGCTTTACATAATGATAGGGTGTGTTTGTGGAGTACTTATCACAGTCATAGCTATAATGCTTTATTGCAACTCAGCTGTAAATTAGATTGTCACCCTGCAGATGTACCCTAGTCTGATTAGTTTATCTGGTGTCCAGATAAAGGAAAAAAAAAAGGCTCATTTTTTAAAATGCCTTGTTTTCTTGTGTTTTAGGAAAGCCTCACAGTACCAGTAGCTCTGAACGGATTCAACTCTCAGGAATGTATAACGTCCGGAAAGGCAAAATGCAGCTTCCGGTGAACCGGTGGACAAGACGCCAAGTTATCCTGTGTGGGACCTGCTTGATAGTGTCATCTGTGAAAGACAGCCTAACCGGAAAGATGCATGTTCTTCCACTTATAGGTGGAAAAGTAAGTGAAAAACAAACTCTTCCAGATTTCCCAACATCAGTAAGGATGCTTGAGCTGCTTCTATGATAAGGAGGTGCAGATGGTTTATAACTATCTTAGATATTACTCTGTTGTTGTGCTCTGCCACAGCAGCTTTGATTGCAGGAGCTGTGGGAGATGATGCCATTGGCTCATGTGAGGTTCTGTCCATCTTCCTGCATGAGTGCATTCACTTGACCTAGTATAGAGAAAATAGAGCAACTGGCATTTCATTGTTATGTTTTAGAGTGTCGATCAGAAATTCTTGATTTCTAAGTGGACATATTTTGGGATCTTGAGCTTATATCTTGTAGTAGAGAATACTGATCCTTAGTCCCTGACCCGAGGAATATTCAGGCGTAATTACCAAGGTGAGACTCTCAAACTCACGTCTGGTCACACTTTCCTTACCTCCTTTTTGTGTGAAGTGATAGATGAAATTCACGTTTTTAGTGTATAACTGGGTGTGGTCATATATTTTGAACCTGATATCAACTCATTTCAGAGAAAATTTGTGATATAACCAATAAATATCTCATATTTCTGGCTGCCTTTCTTTGTTGATAAAATGTAGAAATTCAAATTGTTTGGGAAGTTATTATTTCCTGTGCCAGATTTAATTTATAAACTCCAAGTATTTATAAGGGTAGCACCATTATAATATGTCAATATATCCCAGTATTTAAATGAGATAATCTGTGGATAAATAGGAACAAAGACTGGAATGAGGAAATACATTGTTAGAAATAGAGAACTTGTTAAATACTTCGCTATTCCCTCCTCATACTTTCCCAACCACACCTCATCCCTCCCCAAACACACACACACAAATAGGCATGAGAAAGCAGACAGGAGAAAAATATAAAGTACAAATAATAAGTCAACTTCTGTTAAAGTAAACCTTTTAAAATTGACAAATATCTGATCTTCTAGAGGTAGCAATGAAGGCCAAATGAGTGTTTTTGTCACCCACCTGCTGTGTGGCATGCTCATTCTTCATTCAGTTATAAGTGTAAACTAGTCCTTACTGTTAAATAAATAACAAAGACTAAATTGCTTTCCTTTCTGTTATTATGTGTACTAATCGAAAGAATGCTGATACTTGATAGTTTTCAAAATCATGTAGTCACTCATTTTGAAACCATTGCTGTGTAAACTTTGTTTTAAGCCTTGAGGAGTTAGTGATTGATACTAAGATTTTGTCCTTTGGATGTGCTGCTGAAAATTAGTCATCAGTACTACCACCTTAAATCATCATTAAAATGCATATTCAATGTTTGATAGTGTGTTAGGTCAACAGTCTACCTCTAGGATACTGGACATTTGCAGGCAAATCAATATCATTATTTGTTAGTTGGCACCTGAGGAAGGCACTGTGTTTGTAACCCCAGACGCACTGAAGCAGGAAGTCCTCATCCCTGCTTTTGGATAGGTTAGTTGGTTTCCAGAGGTGTGGAACGGACACAACAATGTCTGCTATAAGAGAGGTGCAGAAATGAGGGCTCAATGTGGTAGCCTAGTGGCTAAAGTTCTTGCCTCCTATGCACCGGGATTCCATATGGGTGCTGGTTCTAATCCTGGCGGCCCTGCTTCTCATCCAGCTCCCTGCTTGTGGCCTGGGAAGGCAAGTGGAGGACAGCCCAAAGCCCTGGGACCCTGTACCTGTGTAGGAGACCCGGAGGAGGCTCCTGGCTGCTGGATTTAGATCAGTGCAGTTGCAGTCATTGTGGCTGCTTGGGGAGTGAGTCACTCTATGGAAGATCTTCCTCTCTGTCTCTTCTCCTGTCTATATATCTGACTTTCCAATAAAAATAAATCCTTTCTTTGTTTTTTTTTTAAGAGAGGTGCAGAAATGAGGGAGCACTGTGAGAGATACGTGCGGAGATTGTCTTGTGGGTATTATATGATGAAAAGTAACGATTACAATAGACAGTGAAGGGTGAAAATTTTTTGACACATGAAGATGATCAGAAAGATTGTTGTATATTCAGAGAGGCTGAGGCAGGAAAGCATGTGGGATGTTCAGATAAGGTCAGATCTAGTTAGAGTTAGCATTTGCATTTGCTGCTGGGGACCTGTCCTGTGTCCCAGGCCTGTTACTGAGTGTACTTCTATCATTGAGTGAATTGGAGGCTACTAGCTCCCTCCTCTTATAAGCAGACTTTGTCAAACCTGTTCTGCATTGAATAACTGAATCTTTAAAACCTGTTGACCAAGTTAGCACGAAATATTACACTTTTGAGATAATGAGATTTAATTAATATCTGTTCCTTGTTTTCAATCTATTAAAGACAAAGCTAAGAATGAATTTAGACTCCTCCCCTCCTACTCTTTCTTTTAAATTAATAAATACAGAAGGGTCCATTGTGGTAGCCTAGTGGCTAAAGTCCTCACCTTGCACACAGTGAGAACCCATATAGGCGCCAGTGTATGTCCCAGTAGCCCAGCTTCCCATCCAGCTCCCTGCTTGTGGCCTGGGAAAGCAGTCGAGGATGGTCCAACACTTTGAGACCCTGCACCCGTGTGGGAGACCTGGAAAAGACTCCTGGCTGCTGGCGTCAGATAGGCCTAGCTGCAGCCTTTGTGGCCATTTGAGTAGCGAACTAGCAGATGGAAGATTTTCATCTCTCTCTGTCCTCTTCTCGTGTATCTGACTTTCCAATAAAAGTAAATAAATCTTTTTTAAAAATTTAATTATTCTTATTACAAAGTCGGATATACATGGAAGAGGAGAGACAGAGAGGATGATCTTCCGTCCAAGTGAGTGCAATGGCCGGTGCTGCACCAATCTGGATGGGAAGTGGAGCAGCCGGGATTAGAGCCGGTGTCCATATGGGATCCCGGCACGTTCAAGGTGAGGACTTTAGCAATTAGGCCATCATGCCAGGCCCAAAATAAATCTTAAAAAAAAAAAGATGTCAGATAAGATGTGTAATAGCTTGGTTATAACCTACATGCAATTGTTACGATATCAGATTAATGCAGAACGTCGTTGTTAGTTTACATTTTCAAATAACATGAATTTGTTGCTAAAGCTTTCAGTTTTTATTGTTGAAAAATTTGGTAGATGTGTTTTTATTCATTTTGCAGCTTTTAAATTAATCTTTTATAATTCAGTTTTCTTTTAAGATTATTTATTTGAAAGGCAGAGTTTTGGAGGGAGAAGGACAGATGGCTGTATAGATGGACTCTGCCATCCACTGGTTCACTTCCCAGATGACTGTAATGGCTGGAGCTTCATCTGGGTTGCTATATGAATGTCGGGACATAAGGCCTTGGGCTGCCTTCCACTGCTTTCCCAGGTACATTAGCAGGGAGCAGAATCGAAAGTGGGTTGTCTGGTGCCCATATGGGATCCTGGCACTACCACCAGCCCCAAGAATTTAGCAATTTTAATAGAATATAGCTTAGTTCTTTTATTGAAATTTGCTTACATTGTGAAGTTGCATAAATTCACTTTTTTGCTCTTAAAAACACTCTACCTATTTTACTATATCATATGTTTTAAACACTGACATATAATTTCTTGGTAAGGTAAAATAAAGGCATTATTTATCTTCTTAGAAATAAGTACACCACCACCTCATAGTCTTGAAACATTATTGCATTTTAAATTTTCACTATTGGACAAGGCATTTGTGAAATTATCTGCAGACTGATTTTAATAGGCAAATAACAACTTACGGCAGACAGGATTGGCCTAGTTTATTAGATATGATTTTTTTGCAGGCGTATGTGTGTTAGCAATAGTACAGCTGGAGGGTGGTGTGCGTTGCCCAAAGCACCCTAGAAACACCCTTAGTGTGCTGAACTGTGGCTTTTCCAGAGCCATGCTGCTGCTGCTGTCATCCCTTTCATTGCCCTGACCTTATGGACTACATTGGGTGGTCTACTCGGTGCCAGATTTCTTCTGATAGTTTTATGGAGTGAATTAGTGAGAATGATCTCATGGAATTTGTACATGGAATCCTCACCAACCTAGTAAGAAATCAGAATTCTTGGAATCATACTGCATGTGGCCCCCTGATCAAATTCTTTTCTTCCAATATTATATTTCATGATAAGATTCCATGTTACTCATGTGGTTTTCATTTCTGTATGATGATCCACTATGTAAACATTATATCATTTAAGTAATTTTCCTATTGACAGACATTTGGGTTACTTCCAGTTTTTTATTGTTACAAACAATGCTGTTGACATAGTTTTGTGTTTTTATATCTCCTGCTATGCAAGAAATTTTTTAGGGAATAATTTGCAACAGAGTTTTTATACCCAAGGTACATTTGGCAATTTGTAGGAATGTTTTGATGGTCAAATTGTTCATCTGTCAACATGTCAGTTAAAATAGTCTGAAGTTGTGCCATCGTGCACCCTGCCTCCCTAGTTCCTAGTGACATTTCACAGCTGTTCACTATGAGAAAAGGGGTTGAAATTCCTTTTTTTATGTAGCTGCACAAGAAACCATCCTGCTGATGGCTTTCATTTTATTTTTAAGTTTTCTTTATTGATTATTCTTGAGGAAAAGATGAGCTCCCATTCATAGAACCGCTCGCTGTATACCTGCAGTAGTTGCCCCAGAATAGGCTGGCAGCTGAAACCAGGGCTGGGTGTGTAGTGTATAATCTGTATGGCTGACAAGAACCTAATTATTAGCCACATCAGTGCTGCCTCACACGGTCTACATTAGCAGGAAGTAACAGGCAGGTAACAGGACCTGGTACTGAACCTGTACTCGGACGCGGGCCATGGGAAGGTGGGCGTCTTAACTAGTAGGCCAAGTGTCCACTCCTGTGCTGTTTTATCATTCCAACGCTTGGGCCATACAGCCTCTTTGGTGCTTTGGCAGGAGGTAACTGAAGAGTCAATCTCTGGTTTTTGTATATTTGGAGATAGAAGTGGCACAGAGCTAGAACTAGTTATGTATGATTCCATGTTAATTGCAACAGATCTTAGAAATATGGAAAAAACTAATAAAGTTAGGAGAGGGACTGAGAGTTAAAATGACACACAGAGCGTTGGACCTTGAAGAGCTTTGCATGCTGTTTTTACTCTCCATTACTGTCCTTTAAGCCAACAAGTATCTCCTGGCCATAATAACACTACCCACCAACAACCTTACCTACTTTTCTGTATTTCCAAGACCTAATTTCCTATTTCCTAGTTGCAACAATTAGCATACAGCCAAATATAATGACCTCCTTGAGAAATAATAGGATGGATAACAATGAAACTGAATTTTGACTATTGAACTTTCTTTGATGGCATCCTACAGATTTCTTTTAGTATTGTGATCATATGTCACATGATGGCGTGGCAGCATCTTCCTTTTTTACCTGTGGGACTCTTGTACAGTATTAGACAGAAGTAGCAGGTACTTGTCCTCTTTTAAGATTAATTTATTTGAAAAGCAGAATTAAAGAGACAGAGACACAAACAGATCACTCTTCCGCCACTGGTTTGCGACTGAAAGGGCTGCAATGGCCGGAGCTGTGGCTGGTCTAAAGCCAGGAGTCAGAGCTCCGTCTAGGTCTCCTGTAGGACCCTACGCACTTGGGCCATCATCTGCTGATTGTATCAGAAATGGAGTGCTGCTGTCGCAGGCATTGGGTTTCCATGCTGAGACAAGCTCAGCCACTAATGACCTGTTGTTTTGGTTTTGTTCTCTGTTGCATGCTTGTTTTTTATTTCAGTAATTTCTGATTTTATCATTTATGCTGGGATTTACTCAGTCTTTTATTTCAATTTTTTCCTCAATATGTGCTGCATATTTAAAAATTTAACTTTTCCTTCATGTAACTAATGTCATTACATTTCTCATATCACTTTTTTACTATTGTTCTAAGTTTTTTGGAATTTTGATTATGGTTTCATTTTAGACCCCTGTTTTGGAGCTTGTAGATTTAAAAATTGTTTACTTAGAAGTATATTGTTAATATTCTGAACATACATGGATTTTTACATTGATTTTGGAAAGATGAATTCAGTCATCTGAAAGGATTACAGAGAGAGGGAGAGACATAGGATGGGATCTCCCATTGGCTGATTCAGTTCCCAAGTGGCCATAACAGCTGGTGCTGGGTCAGGCTGAAGCAGGAGCCTCATCTGGTCTTCCAGGTGGATAGGGGACTAGAAGTATCTTCTGCTGCTCTCCAAGGTGTATTAGCAGGCAACTGAATTGGAACTAGAACAGCTGGGACTCATACCAGCACCCACATAGAATGCCAGCATTGCAGGTAGCAGCTTTACCTGCAACACCAGGACTTTGGCCTCTTAAATTAGTTTTTAAAAATTGAATTCCAATGTGATTGTGTTTTTGTGCAAGAATATTGTCTGTGTGATTTCTATCTTCTATAAAATCTTTTTTACACTTTATGCCAGTTTATGATCATCTTTGTAAATGACATAAAGGTGTTTGTAATACATTATTTTATTTTTATTTTCTCCATGTGTAGAATTTACTGGGAGTGTAAATTAGAATTCTCTGTTACTATACTATTAAGACTTAGAAGTTCTCATGGTGGAGTTTTATTTTGAGTAAATTTCACATTAAATTTTTTAACGCACTTAATGTGCTTGAAAGACCTTTTATGGAAAGCCTCAGCACACAATATGAATAAGTCCCATAAGTAAAAATTCTTAAGTAAAAACCTTCCTAATGAAGTAAATATCTTAGCATCCTATTATGAGGGTTCAGATCAGGGAAAAGGGGGGAGAAGAAAAGTTTACATCAATTTTAAAACAGGAAGAAGTGAATTTCACTCTGATGGGGAAATCTGATGAAGGTGAAACTCCCCTTTTTTTGGCTTCCTAGTAATGAAAAGTGGTTGGTCAGATACAAGAACTTGGTTATTTTCAGTAACCAGAGGAACATATATAGGGAAAGATGCAAATTTGTGTTGGCTCAGTGCTTCAAGGTGAAGTTGGTGAAATGTGTCCGATGCTGCTCATACTTGTTTTCCCTCTCTGTTTTTTTAGGTTGAAGAAGTGAAAAAGCACCAGCACTGTTTAGCATTTAGCTCCTCTGGACCCCAAAGCCAGACTTACTACATCTGCTTTGATACTTTTACAGAGTACTTACGGTGGCTGCGGCAAGTCTCCAAGGTAAGCGGGTGCTTCGCAGCATCTGTTCTGCTGGGTGCTGGCTCTGGGTGTTTTTCTGCTTCACTCAAAATAGATTTACATACTTTTTTTTTTAAGGATATTTCCCATGGCTAACGATATTTTAGTTTTTTAAAAGCTAAAAGCAGCTTTTAAGAACTGTGTTTTTATTTTTCAGATTGTTGTTACTTTAAAAAACTCACAGCATAAATTATCATTACAACTTTAGGGTTACAGATAACAATGAGGAGTCAAAGATTTAAGGGACTAACCCAAGGTAGAACAACTACAAAACCACAGAATACCCAGAGAATTGCTACAAATTTCCCCTCTTTGTCTCAATTTAAGCAGTCTAATCTTAGCAGATGGAAGATATCTGTCTCTGTCCCTCTTTCATTGTTTCTGTAAATAAAATAGAAAAGAGATCATGCCATTTCCTTTCACTTTTTTTCTTCCTTTTTTGTGATTCTATCTCATGGGCCATTTCAGATTCCCTTGATTAACTAAAACCACCATGTTCATGAAGTAATATGCCTTTGTGTGTGTAATTCAAACCAGAATAATACAATAAATAAGATTTTTAAAATGCTGGTATTTCATCTATTGAACAAGAGGCTGGTGTTTCATAAGTTATTTGTAGAATTATGTGTAAAATGATGGGTGGTTTGCAGTACCTACTACCTTGGTTTTGTGTATGTTTTTGAAATGATGAAAGCTCTCTAGGGCATAGGAATATTGCAACAGAATTTGCTCTCCTGTTTTTGAATTTATAATCTAATGTGTGACCCAAGTTCACTGAATTCATTTGGTTGTGTGATATCATGATTTGTCCCATGAGTAAGTAATAGAAAAACAATGTAAAATAGATAACAGAAAATTAGAGAATGATGTGTACAAAGTCTTTTTGCAGTCCTGGCCACATTTGAATGGTCAAGTCATCCATTCTCCAGTGATGTGATATTGGTTAAGAGCATCAGTTCTACCTGAGCCAAAAACTCTGCCTGTTGCCTCTTAGAGAGGACTTGGAAGATTCTACCAACTTTATAGGCAAAGTTGTTTCTGGATGTATGGGGCAGCCACCTCACAGGAGAAAATGGGGACAATGACACTTTTCTTGCAGACTTACATGTTGGATTTTAAGTAGAGTATGGGTTCAAAGCAATCAGTTAATTGTCTACGCACTGCTTTATTCAGAGATTATGCTAGTATGTACAGGGTTTATCTACATACTTATGAAACCATAGATAAATCTTTAAAAAAATGTAGCGATTCAGAGTGGTTGGTTGGATATAACTTTCTGAGGTGGGGATATTTGAAGTAAAATTTCAGTAAAAGATTAGCTTATTCTTTAAAGGTCTAGTGGAAGGAGAGTTCTATGGGGAGGAAATTGACTTCTCTGAGCTTCTGTTCTGAGAGAAGACGAAGAAGTAAAGGGCAAGAGTTAGAAATGGGTCTGGAGTCGGGTGTGAACATGTTGATTCCCAACTTCTTACCTGTGATTGTCAGTGTCCATTGTTGGCTTGAGTAGTACTTTTCCTGTTCCTGATTAGCTGATATCTGTAATGAGACCAGCGTTCTGATTGTGGGAACCTTGATTCTCATGTTAGACCTTTTCAGCTGGAGGTGGTAGAGAATCTTGGGAGATCCGTGACACCTTAGCAGTGATGATGGCAGAGTCGGGCAGAGCAGTGTTGATACTGCCTCCACTCTGTTAGTTCTTGTATTGTCATTAGAAAATGTTTCGGGATTGGCCAGTGGAGCAGCAGTGAAGATTGTGCTTGGCATGCCTTGCACCCCGTGTCAGAATGCCTTGCACCCCATATTGGGTTCAAGCCCCAGCTCTGCTTCTGATTCTATAGCCAATATGCACCAATAGGTAGGTGATGGCTGGGACAACTGCATTCAGTTTTGACTCCTAGCCTCTCTCCAACCCCACCCCAGCAGTCATGGGCATCTGGGGAGTGAAAGAATAGGGTTAAGTTCTCTCTCTACCTATCTCTCTCTGCCTTTCTAATAAAGTGAACAATAAAAATAAGGTATTGACATGGAGCATGTACAAGATAATTTATACTCATATACACGTAGCAATATACATAGCATACAAAAGGAAGAGGAGCTATGTTTTATTACTTTAGTTCATTAGGCTAAGATGAGTAAGAAAAAGAACTTTCAGAAACGGTTTGAATGTTTGGAACGGCTACATATTATAAGAGTAGAGTTTGATTTTCAGAGTTGGTAGACATGACCTCTACTACTATGTTACAATATTTAGGTTTTTAAAGTTTGAGCTGTTTCATTTGATAAGAGGACTAATAATCATTCCGTTGAAGGCTTATGTGAAATATGTATATAATGAACTTAAAGTGGTACAAAGTAAGTCAGTGAATAGTTTGTGTGCTGTTTATAAGACCATCATTCTTATTGTTGTCACCATTGACTGACCAGTTTTAACTGTTAGCTATTTATATGGTTGTTTTCAGAAGTATAAGGAGTTGTCCTTAGTATATCTGAGTAAGTTATCTTTCATTGCTCGTGCATTTTTTTTTTTATTTGAAAGGCAGATTTAAGAGACAAGGAAAGAGCAAGTTTTTTCATCTTTTGCCTCTCTTCCAAATGGCCACAGTGGCCGCAGCTAAGCTGATTTAAAACTGGGAGATTGCTCCTGGTCTCTGATGTGTGTGCAGGGTCCCTAGGGCTTTCCCAGGCCACAAGCATGGAACTGAATTGGAAATGAAGTAGCTGGGATACAAACCAATACCCATTTGGGATGCTGGTGCTAGCAGACAGGGGATTAGCCTATTGAGCCACTGTTCTGCCCTCTGTTGCTCTTAAAATGGCAACAACTTTAAACATTAGCTTTTTTCGGTGTCTGTCTCTCCCTCCTCTTTGTAGAGGCACCCCACCTCCTGGCTTTCTTTCTGGAGGTGCTTCCTCTTTCTTCTTCCTTCCCTGCTCACCTGGTCCCTTCGCAAATAAACTTTTCTGTTTGCAAAAAAAAAAAAAAGAAAAGAAAAGAAAACTCTAAACATTAGATGCAGGGAATAGAGAGTAACATATTTTAGTAATTGTAGATTTTAAATACAGTCTCTTTCTCTAGTCTTAAGAATCTGATAGAGGGAATTCAGAAATTTTAAGAAGTTCTTATGGTTAGGGACTTTTAAAGAATAGATGAGTCATAAAGGCAAATCATGAAGAAACTCCCCAGTTGGATATGATTTCTAAATAAGTTATGGCTATACTTTTCTTTAAACATTGTAAATGAAGACTTATTTTTTGAATCATGGGGATGTTGGAAAGAGGATGCGACTCAGTGTATTTGGGAATAGGTGCTTGTGGGGAGTTTGGGGTGGCCAAGGCTGCCAGTAGAAGACCCTTCTGCTTATTTCCAGCTTCCACTTTCAGTTGTCATCTGCTCTTCCTCATATGTCAGTGTTAGGAAGTTACCCATTTAGTCACATTCAAGGTTACTATAAAGACATTTATTTTTCCTCTACTTTGAGGAACAAAACATTCACTGAATGGATTGACTTTACATCCTGGTATTTAAATGAGCATTTATTTTCATAAGGATCTGAAAAAAAAAACCAGATAGGAATGTCTGAGTGTTTTTGTAAATTTTTAAATGACCGTCTCTACCATTGAGTAGAAGGACAAAAGGAGGGACCACAGCTATTCATAGAGGCATGCTAGTTTGAGTCTCAGCTACTCCACTCCCAATCCAAGTTCCTTGGGCTCCTGTATCCATGTGGGAGATATGGAAGAAGCTCCTGCCTCCCAATTTGGATGGGCCCAGCTCTGGCTGTTATAGCTATTTGGGGAGTAAACCAGCGGACGAAAGAAAACTCTGTGTCTTTCCTTTGTCTCCATAACTCAAGTAAAATAGATCTTTAAAAGAAAGACAAAAGGAGCCAAATATCTGCTGCTATTATTATTATTATTAACTATTAGATAAGTAGCTGGGAAGCAACTTTTTTACTTTCGGTTTATGCTTTTAGATTTAGCAATGACGAATGTTCATCCTTGTTCTAATTTGTTTCAGCTGTTTTTGAGAAAATTTATGGAAGTTATGTATTACCAAGAATAGGGTCTTATATACATACTATGTGTTTTTAAACCTACTAGCATTTAGTATTGCTTACCAGAATAGTATCCAAGAAGTCCGAGGAGCTGCCTTGGCAGGATTTCCATATTGACTCTAGAGTCATTGCTTAGATCCTAATTCTCAGCCTGCGTCAACAGCAAACTTGCCAGCAGTGCTGCATGCAGAGGGCCTTTGTCTCCTCCCTGTAGGTACATGTATGCAGAGGATCTTCAGAGGGCGTGGAGGAGCAGTCATGTCTGAAGGCAGAGCTGGAGGAAGGGCGGTGACTGGAGAAGAGCTCCTGCCAGGATGTGGGGAGTGCTTTGGAAAGGCACGCCTGGCTGTCATCTCTGTGGCCCACTTTTTAGACATGCTGACTGATCCTCTGAATTCTTGTCAGACTTTGTCTTTCATGTGAATCTGTAGCCTCAGTCTCATTCTTAATTTAGAAGTCTTAGTCACATTTGTGACACTGTATTATTCCAATTTAAAGTCTTTTTTATTTCACATATCGTTAGGCATGGATTCAGATCACAAAGTTAGTGTTGTGATTTTGACATCAGAAATGGCAAATATTTTAAGTAGAGCTGATAGTATTGTAACACCGTGCTAGGTGCCTGTAATGCAGCTTCCCAGTGGTCAACTCAAGACCAGTCTGCACATTCCTCCTCGCTCCTGTTATACAATGAACCCCAGATGTCTGTTATTTCACCTGCAAGTATTTGTGTGTGAATATATGTGTGTGTCAAGAGGAGGCCTCTTCTTATGAATATAATCACACTACCATTTTCCATGTCTTTTTTTTTAAAGAAGGAATAAACAGAGCAATAATTATCCTTTTACACATCTTCCATTCATATTAGAAATAGAATATTGGGCCTGACATGATGGCTTGGTGACTAAATCCTCACCCTGAATATGC